GGAGGGCTCAGGGTCACCTGATCCAGCCCTAACTATAAGCTTTATCAAAAAGGAACGTCTTAAGTCTAATCTTAAAGGTAGAGAGGGTGTCCGCCTCCCGAACTGAGACTGGGAGTTGGTTCTATAGGAGAGGAGCTTGATAGCTAAAGGCTCTGCCTCCTATTCTGCTTCTGTGGACTCTAGGAACCACAAGTAAACTTGCACTCTGAGAGCGAAGTGCTCTGTTAGGATGATAAGGCTCTATGATGTCTTTAAGATATGATGGAGCCTTGTTATTAAGGGCTTTGTATGTTAGGAGAAGGATTTTCAATTCTATTCTGAATTTTACAGGGAGCCAGTGGGGAGAAGCTAATATGGGAGAGATATGATCTCTCTTGCTAGTTCCTGTCAGTACTCTGGCTGCAGCCTTTTGGATTAACTGGAGGCTTTTTAGGGAATTATTGGGACATCCTGATAGTAAAGAGTTACAGTAGTCCAGCCTGGAAGTAACAAATGCATGGACCAGTTTTTCAGCATCACTTTGAGACAGGATGCTCCTGATTTTTGCAATATTGCGCAGGTGAAAGAAGGCAGTTCTAGAGACGTGGTTTATGTGTGATTTAAAGGACATATTCTGAGCAAAGATGACTCCAAGGTTCCTCACAGTAGTACTGGAGGCAAGAGCTATGTCATCTAAAGTAACTATACGATTAGACAGCAGATTTCTAAGGTTTTCAGGCCCAAGCACAAAAACTTCAGTTTTGTCAGAGTTTAGACTGTTGATAGAAAGTGTTAGGTGGTTATGGCATGAAAAACAGTCGCAACTCACCCAGAAAGACCTCAGACCAAACCAAACATCTTCTATACACACAGTGGTCAGACAGAAAATATGTACTTATTCAGCTATGCAGTCACCTAACATTGACACTCATACAAGCACACAAATGTCATTCTAAACCTGTCAAAGAAAAATGAAATATATAAGCCAGTTGTCCCATTATAAAACATGCCAGGACACAGTCAAAAAAACAAAAACTCAGTATTATGTTTTCTTTATGAGCAATTGCATCAGCAGCTGCAAACCCTGTTACTGTATGAATCAGAGATAATTATAAATGTTGTCTTCACATTGCTACAGCTCATTTGCTGTTGAGGCACTGCGTGTTGAGAGGTTTATGGGGCGAGATGCAAGAAAGGAACAATTTACCCTGAAAGCGGCAGGAGAGGAAAGCCGAGTATTTGACTAACTTCTTCCCCAGAGTGGGATCATGGAATAGCATTGGGGCAGGCATTGGTAGCTGTGGCTGTGAGTGCTGACAGGGCTCTACCCCATGTGGCTCTATAGATAAACACTGCTTCTTATTGACGGTAACACAGAGGCACACACATGCAAACATACAGTTACTGGCCAACTTTTCACAAGCAGCAGAAATATGGACGTGTATAAATAGTGATGCAGATTTCAGCATTTCAGCAAGAAAAAATGTGATTAGGCTTTCTCAGCTTGATTCCATCCTGCATCTGTCAAACTTAGGCATTATATAATTACAATCATAATGGCATAAGGCAGCAACTATTTGCTGCTGCAGCCTTGAGTTGAATGTAAAATGGCCAGACTCAAGTTTCATTAAATGACAGTAGGAACTCTTTCTGTGCCCTGAGCCTCAGCTAAACAGGGTCCAGACATATAGAAGCTGATCTGTCCTGCTCCCACAAGAAAAAACGTTGCTGCCAAAAGGAACGGAGTGGATCGTTACCTGATGGCTTCCCATTTGAACGAACTTCAACAGATTCCTCCAGCATTACGGAGAGGACATGTACTCTCCATGAAAAACCCTAAGCTTCACACAGGTCCAAGTGCATCCCACAAATCTCTCTTCAGTCAGAAGCTAGATAAAACACTTTGACACTTGATGGGGCAATAGTGCGACTGTCTAGACTAATTTACCACAAGAGGCCCCACAGAGTACCAGTTTTTAGCCATTAACAGGTGGATTAGTTGTTATACTGGGCTACAGTCATGGAAGGCCGACTAAAACTTGATGCTTTGCTCGGCACGTAGAGAAGACTGTAGAACAGTTTGAACATGTAAATGTTTTATTCCTAACCTTACTCAGAGCAGGCTGCTAAAGCCCCATGCTAACCAGGAAAGGTGAAGCTGGGTGTTGGTTGTTTACACTGCTAGTGGTCACCACCTGTTAAAGGGTAGGAAAGCATGCTATTATCTCCAACACAGGAGAATCTGGCCCTGCAGGCTTGGGCCATAATAAGAGTAGCAGACTGCAGAGACTTCTTCTTCACAGGCAGAATAGCAAAGGAAACCTGGACTGTGAGAAAGCAGAGGAGAGCTGCTAGAGGAATCCAGGAATCTCCCAGGCCTGCATAGCCTTCAGTTCTTCCAGAACAACCTCGCTCTTAAAATTATATGGCCTAACAGGCAATTACTATCATTAGTGTCATTCCACCCCAGTTGTCATTCATTTTAATTTTTTCTCATCATTTTGTATACTAATGCTTCTCTGTTAGTTGGGTAGTTAAAGATCGATTCTACCTCATAGATTTATGGGCTAATATTACAGCTTTTGAGATGTGTCTGTTAATCTCTTGATGCATTCCTTTAAATCAGACATCTCTCAGATAAAATTCTAAATAACAATACATAACACCCTGTCTGTTAGGACTGTGTTTGGTCCCTTTGATGTCTCAGGTGAGTCTCAGGTGCTGTATGGGGGCTCTTGTCCCTACATACAATCTTCCCTAACATCTTTTGTGCCTCCAGCTGTCCAAACCACTCAGGGGCCTCCAGGAAGATTGGCAGGTACCCTCTTCCTCTTCCAGATGAGGGGAGGCCTGACACTTTATGAGTGGGAATAAGAAACAACTGTGAGAGTGTTGTTTGAGTTTATTTTCTTCTCTGTTGTCTTTATGTGCTGTTCACATTAACACCAAGCTCCCCAAACATTTATTAGGCCACCTATGTCAGTAGCATTCCACATTACAACACATTGTAATGTTGTTGACGTGGGCGATCATTTTTCTTTGTACTGACAGATACATACACTTACTTCCATATAAACTGCATAGGGCATGCTTGCACACACTTGTGGTTTATCTTCCAGGCTGTCCTGGGGCAAAGAAAACAGAGTTCCTGACAAGTGTTCTTGATGCGCTGTCGACGGACATGGTGCACGCTGTTACAGATCCAGCATCCACCGGAAGGTATGATATTTGGAAACAGATGTGTTCATCTTATAATTATTGATGTTTGTCAGTGGCTTCAGTCATTAACCAAAAAGACAAAAACGTGTATTGGACTCAGGCTTTTATTTCAAGACCAATCAAGGACACAACTGTGGGGAAGGTGCTTGTGTATTGTCTGTTTTATTTGTTAACATCATTACCAAGGTTTTCCCTACCATGTAGTCTAAACACTTACACTTTTGTGGAGTGCTTTAAGCCAAATAAATGTAACAAGGTTACATACCAGAATGAATGTAAAAACAGTTAAGTTCTATGCTGAAATCAGGAGTGTTTGAACAAATGTTTGTGTGATTGATTGTCAAGCTAATCAAACAACTGACTGTGTATTTCTATGTACCGCCAGGATGGTAGTTACACCCAGAGTGGATTAATATCTTGATAAAAACAAATGTGGCCTATTTACATCTAAAAGAATTTGCTAATCTAGCTAACAAAGACACTACTGTAAGGAGAGTTAGCCTGGGAAGCTGGACTACAGTAAAGTTACAATAATATTCACAGATTTTAAGTTCCTGGATCAATAAGTCAGAGCGAAATGTTTCTTTTGAACAGTAGAAAGGATAGAAAATGAGCTACAACCCAGTTTTCTCCAAAATGAGCCATCCTCCAAGTTTCACCAACATAAAGGCTATACACTCACTAGATAAGCGTTCTCTATGCAGCTGGTCTTGGTCTTGACTTGGTCTCAACCCCTTACAGTTTTGTCTCGGTCTCGAAACACACTGGTCTGGATCTTGACCTGGTCTTGGTTTAGGTGGTCTTGACTACAACACTAATGGAGGGGTATTTATTAGCTGCTGAACTGATGAACTGATATCTGTCATTTAGGGTGGCTGAGCCAGACCCTAGCCACACCCTGGAAGAGAGAGTGGTTCACTGGTATTTCAGTCAGCTGGACAAAAACTCCAGTGGGGACATCGGAAAGAAGGAGATCAAGCCTTTCAAGCGCTTCCTACGCAAGAAATCCAAGCCAAAGAAGTGTGTGAAGAAGTTTGTGGAGTACTGCGACATCAGCAATGACAAGGCGCTTTCTTTGCAGGAGCTGATGGGCTGCCTCGGGGTGACCAAAGAAGAGGGTGAGCTGAACAATGCAACCTAATGTCTATATGCAAATCAGCATTCAGACTTGTATATTTATGATTATAGCATGATAAACATATGTTAAATTAGATTTAGTGCCACATGACTTTTAACAATTGACTGTTCACTAACCTCCCCAGACAGCAAATACCTAATGATAGTCAAGCCTTGATTTTGTCCACATGGTCAAGCAGCAGGGCTGTTTGGAGGGAGTCTTCTGTATCATCTTTTCAAAACCACAAATATAAATGCAAAGTGCAATTAATGGATTAAACAGTAGCATTTTCACATAATTATGGTACCAGATTAACATGATTTCATGTAGGTTCTATGTAGCTATCCGTTGCATATGCATAAAACTGTTCAAAGAGAGAGTTTTAAACCAACTAACTAAAAGAGCTATAGCTACTACAATCAACCAGCAGAAGAAGCCTGGTATGGGCTTTAAAATGAAAGACCCGTTGGTACAGTGCTTTTTGAAGATTCACTTGAATTTTATAGAGGCAGTGATTCAATGATTCTTTATTTTGTTGTTGGTGGTAATGGTTTTGAAGTTTGTATCACTTTTTTTCTCACAGGGGCAAAACCAGGAGAAGGCTTGTCTTCCAGTAAACTAGTACGTAAACCCCTCCTTCCATTCTAGTGGCTGTAAGAAAAATTGAGGGTACACCTAGCTAAAGCTTTGTTTCCACCAAAGGAACTTTCCCCATGGAACAGGAACCTTTTTGTGGAACTTAGTTCCTCTACCTGCATGTCCACCAGAGGGACAAGGGTCTAAATTGATACTGTTTGAAGGTCCAAAAAGATCAAATACAGCGCAACATTTTACATGTGACATTACCCTGCTCTCCTCCATCATGCTTCTACATTTAATCTTTCCAGGGCCTTGGCCCTGCTGTAAAAATCCAAATCACAATGTGCTCAAGGGACTTTTGCCCCAGGGAGAGTTCTTGGACTAGAGTTTCTGGACAAAAGAAAACCTACCATGAACTTTCCAGTGAAAACGCATCTTAAATGTAATATTGGTCAGCTCTGTTGGTGTTAACTGAGGCAGAAATACAACCACAAAAGGTTGTGGCATGTATCAAACTAATACATTTTAATTTCCTCTCCTCAGAATCCATCAAAGAAACAAGGCTAAGCCAGCAAATGAGATTTCCCCTCCTGGATGGAGAATCTGCCCTCACCAGCTGGCAATAATGGAAACCATAGTATTTGCACTTTGTACTTTAAAAATGTAAATTCACTTTGTAGAAAAAAAGGTATTTAAACAGACTGCTGAATCTGTGAATGATGTAGTTAGCTTTTTATGTCCTGACAACCCAACTTATTTAACACATACAATGTATGTGCCCTTTGTTTCTAAAAGTATACTTTTCAGAGTTGTACAAGTTTTAATGTTTGTTATATTTTTGCTCCTGCACCCACTGTACGTTTCCTCTCATGTTGATGATGTTAATGCAGATACATGGATAGTTTGCTACACAGCTACAGTAACTGTCATCTGTCATGAACTGACTCATAACATTTCTTTCTGTGCTTTGTACAGCAGTTTGCAAGAATATTTTAAAGATACATCCTTAAAACATCCTTCATGTGACATGTATTCATGCTTATTAGAAATAAAGAACTCTTTTATAAAGCTTGCGCTCTGTGAGTCTGTCAGTCTTGCTGTGTCGAATGTTTTTGTTTCTCTCTAATCCAATTAGCGTTCTGTATTTTCTTTCTGATTATCAAACTTGTAATGTGTTTTCTTACTATGCCTTTAATAAAACAACTTGCTGACAGACTTTAGGAGCCAAATATTAGTCATACATAGCAATGGTTGTGTATCATCCCATTTTCCAACAGCTTGCCAATTCCCTCAAGGCACATTTCAGAACTGAAAAAGTGGATAGTACTTATTTTTGTTCTCTTCACAGGTTTCCCATGTAGACTGAAGACAGAGAAATGGATCAATATCAGCTGTGCGTAGTATGAATGCCCATTAAACAGGCTTTATATGAGCCACTGCATGTGTCTGATCGTGTATTTGCATAAGGTACACTTATACAGTAAATGTACACCTGAACAGTCAATGAGGTCTGAATGGATAAAGAACATTCAGCTCAGGAGCCTCAACACATTATACTACTGTACATTTTTTTTGCCTGATTATACTGGGGATACTAAGTTGTAAGCTGTGGCTTTTAACACAGAACGTCCCCTATAGAGCAGAGCCACTGACCTCAGACTGACCTGCTTACTCAGGCTTGGTCTCAAATTCATGATTAACACATCGGTCTCTTCTCTGTGTTATAATCCAACCCACTGGCCTGGTTTTAACACCCCAGGGAAACACGGAGGAGAGATTATGACTCTGCTCTAAGGTGCTGAATTAGAGATGGATAACCTATGGCTTTCTTAAGCACTTTCTTCATCCACAGCTAGGAAAAAGTTAAATCTAAAGCAACAAGTCCTAAAGCAGCAGGGATATAGTATATGTTTTTATCTCCCAGTAAAATCCAGCTCTGGAAATTGTTTGCATGCAGCTAAGTTCCTTATTTATTTACTAAAACATCCATCAACTAGCTATAGCGCTGCTCCTGTAGAGGGTCAGGATGCAGGGATAGAGGGGAGAGAGCTATAGCTAATCCCATCTGAAAGTGGGCGAGAGGCAGTGTGCACTATGGACAGGTCACCACTCTATTGCAGAGTTGACACATGGAAATAGAAAACCATTCACACCTATGGACAATTTAGTCACCAGTCAATGCAAACTGTATGTCTTCAGAGTGTGGGAGGAAGCAGCAGTAGCTGGAGAAGACCCCCACAGGTGCTGGGAGAAACACATGCTCCACACAGAAAGGCCCCAGTCAACTGGTAGGTTCAAACCCAGATCCATCTTGCTGTGAATTGGCAGTTCTAACCACTGTGCCACCATGCTGCCCCCTTGCTAAAATGTTAATTGTAAAATCACAGCTCAGCTCCATCTTTTTGCAGCATCCCCATGTTCCTGGCCTAAATCCCCTGAAGGTGAAGTTATGCCCAGAACAACATTTGCCTTTCCTACACAGCCATTTAAACTTTTAATGTGACTGTGCTGGTTACAGGTGTAGTTTAATGATGCTCTCCTCATCCAAAAAACTCATCAAGCTGCTGAAAATCGGTCTTGTACCCAACACAGTGCTAAAGCCTTGTCATATGTGATTTCTGCTCCCCTGGGCTGAGAGGCATGTAAACACTTTTTACAATTAGGCTGGTAGTCAAGGCATGGTTTCTGAATATGTTCCCCTGACAGCTTGGACTCCTGCCTGAACTGATGGAATAGCTGGAAAAAACGCATCCAAACTTTGGCCCAGACTGTCACACGATTGGCGAGGCCTCCTACTTCTCCTGTTCCTCAGTCCTGCTTCCTCACTTGTCTCACTCACACATGCACAAACACACTCCCTGAGCACAGAGATACCATTGAGGGGGATTTGTGGGCACAGTTTGTATTTTTAATGGGCAAGAGGAGGCACCTGATCTCATCACTGGCAGTCCCCCGCGAGCTGTGGACTCACTGAGAAATTACTGTCAAAAGGCATCAGGGCTTTAATAGCCTCTGGCCCCAATGCAGCTTCCCACTGGTTTTTGGAGGGGCTCTAGTTTGTGGACAAACAGAGTGAGAACTGCCTTTACACTGGGACCCTCTCCCACCCCACCCCCCTTGCAGTCAGGCCACTACTGCAGGACACTAACAGTCATTACACTCAAGAAAATTAATTGCTAAAGGAGGTGTGACTTTAATAGACAGTGTGTAAAAGAAAAACAAGTGGTATCAAGTATTGTATGGGAACAGGTGCTCTCATACAAAGAGCCTTATTTGCAAAAATTGTTTCCCCTTTGAAAATCATTTATTTGTTATGGGTGAGCAAGAGTTTTGGGAAATATGCATAATAGCTATTATGAACTAGATAGGAGGATCAACAACTTAACATTCTCATCTCTGTAGAATAAATATGGAGCTAGAGCCAGCTAACCAGTTAGCTTAGCCTTTAGCATCAAGACTGGCATGTTCCAGACTTCTGAAATTAAGGTTCCCAGCTAAGAAATAGATACCCAGAGATAACCCCCTCAACATCCATATCTTTATGTTTTTACACTTGGGTTTTTGTAAGGATTAAGAAAACGGGATATAAATATTTACTTAGTGAGCTTTAGATGTGCTTTTGTTAGCTTCAGACAAAGCCAAGATACTTGTTTGCCCCCATTTCTAGTATTTATGCTAAACTAAAATAACTGAATATGTTTTAATAACAATGGTAAAACTGCCAAAAAATGAAGTATTGTAGTTTCAGGTTACCCCAGTCATTTGTATAAACCTGATATTTTCCTCCTTAGCGCAACAAATACATAGAAAATGCTGCGTTTGTCCAGACTGCTGCATAGTCATGTTAGCCCTTATTAGCCATGATGGACACAAACCGCATCAATTGCCCCTGCCAACAGCCAACCTAGCAAGATAAAATGTTCTGCTCGTGTGTATGCAGTGTCACTGCAAGACTGAAGTTGTCTTCTGCATTCATAGAGTGAATTGTGCAGCTTTTCTCATTTATGTGTTCCAGCTGAATGGGGTGACTGCCAAGTTCAGGATCTGGCCTGATATCAGAATTTCCCAGGGTGATAAAGAGTCTCTTGTTTGGATCACAGTTAGCAGACAGTTGGAGAGAAAAAAACGTGATACTGAGAGAGTGATATGGGCAATTAGAGGAGTGAAATTTCAAGTAGACAAGAGGCAGGGTTGTGTATGTGGGCATGGTCTGTAAACCTACAAACACCCCCTAACTAGACACTCAGGATAGACAGAGTGTTCACCATGTGAATCACATTAATTTCAAATTAATGTTACAGTATTATAGTTTAAATTCTTGAGATAACCAGACCATTGAGCAGCTCCAAATCTGCAGAATGTTACAGTGATATATTTTGTGTCCACCAAGCCTTTTCCCTCCATTACAATAGAGATCTGGACATAACAATGTTTACTTTCATTCATGAATATCTGGGGGGGATTAAAACCTGTGGGCATGGGAGCTGGAGGGTGGGTTTGCATGGGGTGTACTTGCCCTTTAATCTCATTTTCACAGTGTCTACCTCTGACATAGCTGTATCCCCTGGCCTCACCAGGGCTGAAATGTCGAGCTCGAAGGAAGGGTTAGCAACGACAGGAGAGCGGGAGGCATTAAGGGTTACTGACTGTAGTGATGGGGGGAGGAAAAGAGGTGGGGTGCTGTCGGTCCTAAACTCAAAGGATTAACGGGGTGACTTCTCCTCTGGAATGTTCCACTGACAGCCAAGACCCACCCACCCACAGCTGCCTGTTACAGACAGGTGCATTGCCAAGGTGAGGCAGGTGGATAGAAGAAAAAGCTGGGTGGCTGAGGGGGTGAGGAGGCAAACAAACTTCCTTACGTGGGCATGGACTGATGAGTATATCAATAAGCAATCTGGCCAAAGATATTCTCCAGCCCATTTCAAAGCAAACTAGTCCATCAACCTCAGCTGTAGCATGGTGAGACTATACCACCTGAAAACAGAAATCTGTCCCAGTGGATAGTTATAAAAAAATTATTAGTGAACCATTCAAAACAATTCTAGAGGTTTACACACGTCACACACAGGCCATGATTTCAAGTAAAAATGTCCACAAATATCGTCCTAAACAGATTTAAGAGACAGCTGAATCTGTGGTTTTGTGAAGGTGGAAAACCACCACTGAGCCTCCCTTGAACAAGAAAACTAAATAAGTTACAGATCAACCTCACACACAAACCTCTCTGTTGAACTTTGCACCAGAATAATGCCCATGTATCCCAGTCCAGTCATTTAACCAGTAATCCTGAATACAAAGCCAACATGGCAGCATTTGGTAACACACACAACAGAAGGTGAATTTATTTCTCCTGCGATAATTTGTGTTTGGGAATGTACACAAGCTTGCCCATGCTTGCTCTGCAATATTAGGTATTACTTCGCAAAAATGGAAGGCAAAGGATACATTTTCTGCACTATTATTTCTAGGTTGCATTAATTTTATATTGGTAAATGTACAATGGTTAGGTAACATCCTCAGGTTGTGTCAAGGCACAACAAAGGCCAATAAACATTGCTGTTGATCTACAACAATCCTACAGTGGGTACAGAAAGTATTCAGACCCCCTTAAATTTTTCACTCTTTGTTATATTGCAG